CACAAATTCTATGGTTACTCAGGGCCGAAAAGTGGGGGTCCCTGTTGATCGCTTGTGATGGATGTCGCGATGGTCGGGGAAGTGGCAGTACTGAGTGTGAAACTCATCGATCACCGAGTGGTGGACGGTGTTGACCGAGATGGCAACAAGCTGGATCTGCTCCAGACAATGGTCAGGGCGTCGGGATAAGGCATCTGCGACCCGAGTAGTCTCACCCTTGGTGTGCTTAGTGGTGAAACTAAACTCGAATAGGTCGCGCCACCAGCGAGCCTGTCGAGGAGTGAGCTTCGACTTTGTCAAAAAAGCCTGGACAACAGAGTTGTCCGTGCACGCTGTGAATGGTGACCCGTGCAGGTAGTGACGTCAATGCCGAGCGGCATAAACTTCTGCGAGAACCTCACGTTCATCAGCAGTGTAGTTTATCTCRGCGGGCAGGAGCTGACGGGAGTAGAGGGCTATCGGACAGTCACCTGAGCGAGACTCGACAGTGCCGTCCTCGACGATGGTAGGAGAATAGTCAATAGAAGGCTCGTCAGTAGCTGGACGAGTAAGCGTCAGGCGGAAAACAGTGGTAAGAGTAGGGGGTGGGAAGCGAGGGATGCGAGGATGAAAGGAATCAGGAGAGGAGGGAAAAATATGAGAAAGCGCTGCTCCTACAACAAAGTCCGACGCATCGGTGGTAAGGATAAAAGGGCGATCAAAATTGGGTAGGTGAAAAACTGGTGCACATGTCACCGCCTTCTTGAGGGCGTGGAAGGTGTCCTCGTGGAGGGGTGTCCAAGCCCATTGCGGATTCTTCCGGAGGAGGATGGAGGTAAGGATGTAGGAATACCTAGCGTATCCCTGGATGAAATTACTATAGTATCTAGTGAGGCCTAGAAATCTGCGAAGCTGCTTGGCGGATGTGGGAGACGGCCACTCCGCAATAAAAATGATCTTCGCGTCGTCCATGTGGAGACCCTGGTCAAACACGTAGTGTCCTAAGAAATCCACTTTGTGCTGGGCAAAGCGGCACTTGCTCAGCTTGGCGTAGAAGCCATGTCTGCACAAGCGGTCAAGGACATCACAGAGGTGTCTGAGATGCTTCTTAAGGGTACGACCGTAGATCAGGATATCGTCGAGGTAGACGAGAACGTACTGCTCCAGGATGTCCCTGAAGTTGTCGTTCATCGCCCTCTGGAAGGTAGCGGGTGCGTTGGTGAAGCCGAATGGCATCACCGTAAACTCATAGTGGTCGAAGCGCGATCGGAACGCGGTCTTCGGCTGGTCCGCTGCAGCAACACAGATCTGATGGTAACCGCTACGAAGATCAATCTTCATGAAGAAGCGGTTGCCTGTTAGGCGGTCGAACAGCTCGTCGGAACGAGGCATGGGGTAGTTGTTCTTAACCGTGTAGCGGTTAAGGCCACGATAGTCGATACAGAGACGGAGAGTTTTTCGCTTTGCCAGCAAAGAGGACGGGTGCACCCCACGGGGAGTTCCTGGGTTTAGTGAAACCCAGTCTCAAGAGCTCCTCAAGCTGGCGCTTGACTTCGCTGGCCTCGGGGATCGAGAGTCTCTAGGGTGCCTGGTGGTGAACACGATAGTCAGACACAAGCTGGATGAAATGCTCGACGTCGAGCATCGGTGGGATGCCGGCGTACGAGAACGAGGATGGGAAAACGTCGTGGTACTCTCGAATGAGGTCACGACCTGCACGCTCCAGGTTGGCCGTACAGTGTGCGAGTTCCTCAGCGTCGACGTCCGCGGGGGACGGCGGGCTGGACTCGACGGACGGCAGAGGGTGGGAAGTAGAGATGGGAGCCATGGAGATAGGAGGATCTGGCTCCAGAGAGATGAGCCCGACGTCGGGATAGGGTGGATCATAGCGCAAAAGATTCGTAACGTTCACCGTAAAGAAGGTGACGTCGTCCTGTCGGATGAAGTGAGCGAACTGCCGAGGCGAGGTGACGGTGATAGTAGAAGATAGTGTTGGCACGGAAGGCTCCGGGGGAGGAGGGTCGGGGCGTGGTGTCGCAGTGGACCCTTCCTTGTTCATTCCACAGGAAAAAAATG